TATAATTTATTTTGAAGCTTATATAATGAATTTCTTAGCCTTTTGCAGTACAGTTTTTAATCTGTACTGTAATTAATTACAGTAATTAATCTATTCATTACTTTGGGAAGTAATTAGAGTGCTTAATAATTAGTATTGTTTTCAGTAATTCATAAGACAAAAATACAATAGCATTGTCAGTGGTGGAACTTCCAGGACTTTTGTTAGTTGTCTTGTCTTGTCTTGTCTTGTCTTGTCTTGTCTTGTCTTGTCTTGTCTTATCTTATCTTATCTTATCTTATCTTATCTTACCTTGTTGCATGGAAAAGACCATGCAACATGATCTTTATGGCCCCAAGCCCCATTGTTCTTGATGATGTTTAAATGCAGAAGAGAAAGATCGTCTCTGTCCCAAAAGAGCTTAAAATCTTTAAGGAATCTGGATCTTTAGTATTATGTTAGCTTTGTCCTTTTTAAGTCAGAACCCTGAGAAAAAGTGACCAGATACTCACCAGGTCAGAGAAAAAGGTAGCCATCTCCTATCAAAGAGCTGATTCCTGTTGCTTACTGGCTAGTACCTGCCAAAAGAACCAAATGCTCACATTATGCAATAGCAGTGTTAGTGAATTGGTCCCATGTTATTGAAGTTAAATTTTACTTCAAAGGTTTTTGAGTTAATTACACGTATTTCAGCTGTTGTACAAAGTTTAGAACTGTTGGATTAAATATTTCAACCAATGGTTGTGTCTAGCCCAAGTAAACAAGATGGTCTCCCTTGTGGGGAACCTGTATGGTTCATGAACCCTGTCTTGTGCTAGGGGAATAGGGAACCAAGACAACAATTTTAAACATTATTCCAATAATCATAACTCACTTCGTTTTCAGTATAAGCTGAGAAACATGAAGACAAAGTTATCTGTTGGGAATCTTAGTTGAGGCCTGGACAGTGAACTATAGGACTTTGACATATAATAGGAAAGAGCTATTCTCTCTTCATGTGGCGGCAACTGAAGCACATCGTAACTTAATCATTACTTAAGGGAATTGAAATGCTCCATCATTTTGGAATGGGGTATAAACTTAACTATTTTACAGTGGTACACAAGATTTGACTGGCTAAATATTTAGTAGTAGCTGATTTCCCTTTGCTGAGAGAGGAAGATTCAGTGTTATGCACAATTTTGTCTGGCATTTACCATTAGTCAGTATATTTATTCTCTCTGTGAAAAAAAGAGATTGGTTTGAAACCATCCTGTAACCTCCATATCTGGAGTGCTGTCTCTTCCTTCAGACAGAAAATTCTCAGGTTTTATCTTCATTTATTTCATAGTTAAGAGGGTTTTGTATGTATTAAATTGGTAAATGACTTAAATATCATTTGCCATTTACACTTCAGTTAAAGAAGGTGAAGATGAAGAAATCATACTGGGCTGATTGGATGCAAGTAGTCATATTTACTAGAAAATACATCACATGCAAAGAATATTCACCAAATCTTTAGCTAATGTCTGAAATGTAGCGTGTAGTGCCACTCGGCCAGTTCTCCTGTCCCTATGTGGTCCTCATTGTGAAGCGTACCTTGTTGTTGATGTGTGCTGAGAGTTCGTGATGGGTTTTTTTCCAGATTAGGTTCTCCAGCAGATAAGCTGTTGTTAGAGCACAAGCGAGACTGTTTCTGTGATGCTAAGAATTAATGTCCTTTTCTGTAAAGTCATGCAAAGCTGAAACAACATAATGTGCATCTGACAAAGGAAAGAAATGCCATGTTAGCTGCTAGTATCTGCCTTGTTTAGATGATACTGGGAGAAGACAAGAAGCTTGTAGCCCATGTTTTCTTATGTTCTGCTTCACCCACTTCTACTTAGTGTACTTTATACATATTGTAACTTTTACTCCTTGCTCTTGTACTTTAATTTAGGATTCCTACTTTTGGTAGGTTAAGAGTTGTCCTCCTGTAATGCCCTTAACGCGTAATGGTTTTTGTGTTTAGGTTGATTAGTTACTGTACTGTTTCTGTGCTCTTATTACTTACACTGTGCTGCGGCCCCCTTTATTAGATGTGCAGTTTTGCAATTAGTGCTAACAACTAGTTATCAGATATCTTACAGATATCTTTAGTCATAATTGTGATCAGGACAGTAAATCTTACAACATCAGGTCATTTAGTCATTCATCTTGCAATTTTACAGTCACATGTGACACACATGTGCCAAGCTGTGCTAAACCTTCCTTAATACAGGCCAACTAGACCAGATCTGTGTCTTCTGTGTCTAGCTGACAGCAGTTCACTGATCCAGTTTTCAGTGTTTATATCTGCCTCAGCTGGAGTCAGTATTTGAGACATATCTTACCTATCAGTTGATGTCTCTGAAAGAAAACATACATGTAACGTTCCTGAAACTTCTGAATGGCTGTCCTGTTTGTCACCTCCCATGTATATTTGAACCATACCGTTTTGCTGTTTCATCGCTTGACCAGGCTGTTACCAGAATACAGCTCTTGCTCCACTGAACACAGGCGAAGGTTGACCTGTGCTCTCAATAGCTGTTCTGCTTCGTTGTCACATTAACGTTACATAGGGCATCCACTCGCTTCCTGGTGAGGATCTTATGGGGAAGGTTTTCCTAATAACATCTAATGAATAACTGAGATCAGAGAAGTGGCTCACTAGAGAGTCACTCCAGCAATGCTACACGATGTCACTCTGCTTACATTTCCAAAGACTTCAGGAATTGTTGTAATGGAATGAAGGATGTTTTCAGAATGACTGGTTAGGAAAAGAGAATTCTGTTTTGGAAAAAGTTGATATTTTCTTCCTATATTGGTAGTTGTCTCCAAATGACTGGTAGTTTTAAATCATATTGTTATATATATATGGAACACTACAAAATTATTGAGCTTTTCTGACTTAAGAACGCTTCATGTTTCATAGATTATCTTTTAGTGAGAAGTCTTAAGCATCCCTCAATACTAAAGACAGGAATAATGAAAAACCCCAATCATAGAAGGGTATGCACACCAAAACCTTTTTTTCTAGTAAGCTGTCCCTAAGGGAGATCCTGATGTTGGGAAAGAAACATTTGTGGAGGACAGAAGTTTTATTACAAGGCAGTCTGCCATTTTTATTATGTTTAACATTTCCAATTAAGAATAAGCAGCAGTTAAGATGAACAACTGAATTCATATTTTGAATAACCTTGTTTCAGTTGAAGTAAATATGCCAGTCAAAGCAATATCAGAGATAAAAACATTTATTTTACTGTGTAAGTCTAGAGTTTGGATTTTAATTCGTATAGTGAACTGTGAACCTTAGTTTTTTTCATGTTATTGCTACTAGGCCTGTGTGAGCCTCTCATTAATAAAGGGAAACATGCAGAAAATGAGACACTTACTTTCTAAAGAAGAGAAAAGTCCTATGAGTTTGCATATTTCAAAAAGAAGTTTCTGTTGAAATTAATCCCTGTGGTACTTTACAAGATCACACTATCCTATAAGGCTCACAAACTCTTTTTACCTTTAATTATGTGTAGCAGGAAGAAGAATTAGGAACTCGGTATCAGATTGCCTTGAAGATCATTCACAGTTTGAAAGCCTGCAGTATGTGAGCTCAAGCACAGAACTTGATTATAGATCAGTGTAGAAAATGATATTACATCCATTCCTACAACAGAGTTCATTGGGAATGGTATATCACACTAAGTCAGAAAACATGCATATGATATGCTTTAACATGTTCTCTCACTTTGTTTCCTTATCTTTGTAAAAGATGATGCTTGTAAATATTGGTAAAACTCCTATGAGAGACTGTAAATCAAACCATAAATTGTTGTTTGAAATGCTTAAATGAATGCCTTAGAAGTTCCTTATGAGTTACACTTTCCACTTTTACTGTAAATCTTATTTAGCTGTATGAGTCTCACAAAATATTCAAGGCGTAAATTTAGTCATCACTAGAGCTGTCAGTCAGTATCTACACTTGCAGTGAACAATAACTGAAGGGTCTGTACTGATTGCACATCCCTGAAATATGAGTATATGTGATCACTTCTTAGTCATGATAGAGAAATGCACCCTAGGCAGGAGCCCTGGATGAAGAACATCCCTGGCTATGCAGCTGACAGTCCGCTGTACATACAGCAAGGTACTGTACAGATGTTTTTAGAAGAAACTGTAAAGCAACTGGTGTTCTGTTACAGCCTGGAGTTCCAGTCTGAGGTGATTCTTCTGGGGTAAATTCAGTCTGGGTAGCCGAAAGTCACACAAAGTAACAGCTAAATTGCTACGGGATTCACAGCCCACGAGATACCTGTGGGAACTCTGACCCTGGAAGAGGAGCTACAAACTGGAGGTAACGACGGTGATGGGCAAGATGGCACAGAGTATCTAAAATGACTCTAGGTGCTTGTGTTTTATGGTGACTGGATTCCACCCATGAGTTCTTCACAGTACTGCCACTGAAAGGCACTATTCTCTGAGAAGAGTTGTACAGGAACTTTTTACCCATACGTTTTCATGAACAAGTCTAGCTTAGAATCAAATGGCTGAATTTTTTAGCAAAAAATTACATTTAAGTTGAAGCAAGGATGGCTGCTACCATGGAAAACTTCAATCCGAAAGGGTGAAGATACAACACAAGGACAACATGACATTTTGCATGGCAACCTGGCAAGGTTTGATTATTCAGTTGAGTCTAGAGAAACAAAGAATTTATTTCCTATTGCACTAATTTTTTTCTTTAATCTATTATGGATTGAACCCTAGCCAGAGATAGCAAGCCAAGAACCTCACTATTCCCATTTCAGGTTTGTAAAAACACACTCAGAAATCACAGAGAAAGGGGATCACAGGTCTTCCCTTTCTCTTTGGTCAGCAGAGTATTTATAAATTCTACATGTAGTTTCAGTGTGTATTAGTTGCTCTTCTATAGAAGAGATTTACACATCAACAAGTAAGCCAAAATGCCCGTGATTCACATGAACCTATCCTGTTAGTATCAGGCATCATCCCTTTTCTAAGCTGCCCAGAGTGGAGTGCTTGAGAAAGGTGCTGGTTTGGCAAAATGGGAACCTTGTTAAGTGACAGATATGAAAACTGACAGTCCATTTTGACTGACTTGCTAGTCAGAAAACGACAAATGTCTTTTTTTTCTTCCTTTCAAGAAAGCCTGACTCCCCCTAACTGCCGGTCACAGCCTGGTGCAGAAGGTGTAATCCTCCGTGACATGATTTGGACTTGTTGGAATATGCTTCTTTTTAAAGTTTAGTTTATTAAATTCTTCTGTGATTTCCAAGATTGATTTCCCTTTTGTTTCTGGAAGGAACAGGTGGATAATTATCCCTGAAGTAAAAAGTACCCCCATAAAGATGAGGAAGCAGAAGTGCTTGAGTCTTTCCTGCAGGGAAAAGCAAAGTGAGAAAGAGAGCAAGATGAGCGTATCTTTTCTTTTGTCACTTTCTTGGCACAGTTTTTGTATTTGGGTCATGAGTACTTTGAATTTGACAAGGAGTTCTTTGCATTTTGACCTTTGACAAATATTTCAGCCTGAATAAGTATCTTGGGCAAATCAGGGCCCTTCCATTGCAAAAGTGGACTTGGGAGAGGAGGTGCCAAAACCACTCTAGACGGATATCTCATTGTCATCTGCTGCTCTTCTTCCTGCTCCCATGGCCAACTCAGCTTAGCGCCCCCGGGGATGTCCCAGGGAAAGTCACTCACCACAATGAACGGGAAGCTTGTTCCGATCACAAAGACGCCCAGCCAGTTGAGAACTGCGCTGATCACAAAGGCAGGTGGTCTGCATGAGAGCTTGAAAATTTCAATCCTAATGGAAATTGTGGCACCAGCTGAAAGAAAAGAAGAATAAAAATTATTACTTGGTGTGTTTGATCTGAACATTTGGATTGAGTGTTACTGTCACACAGTCAGTAAATAGGTACTACTAGCATGGACTGGCATTCAAAAGACTTGAGTATGGCACACTTTTTTAGAAAGGAAAACATTTGTGGCATCTTATAAACTGCTAGACATCAGTTTATTAAGGTGATAAAACATTCAAATAAATTTATTGGGGAGATTCAAAAATTAAGTAGTTAACATCTGAGAAAGTCTGACATCTTCTCATGAAAGAAGCTGTGTAAGGATGGAATAGCAATTATTATTACTAACAAGAACTCCCAGCACAATACTGCTAGATCATCAATGAGTGATCTTCCCGGAATCACTTCCTGGGCCTTTCAGTTATGTTTTGAAGTCACAGGACTTTGACAGCTTTGAGCTAGGAAAATGATTCAGCCCTGCAATATGGGAAGGCAAATATTTTAAAAATTAACAGGATTAAAAAAAAATATTAAAGAGGAGCAGGTAGTATATGATAGGAAAAGAATTACTCCAAAGCAGGTCTTCTGCACTGCTGTCTATGTGGGATAAGATGTAACACTATACAGCACTGAATGTAAAAGAACTCTTGCTTTTCTTTTTCTTTCTTTTTTCTTAGTATTTTTTAAAAAAATCTTCTACCCATCTGCTTTTGTTCCATTTTTGCTGTGTTTTTCCACTGACTACTTTTTGCTGTGTTCCTTTCCTCTTATTAGCAAAACCCAAAACTGATGCCATTGAAGCTTATGGCCAATGATTGGACTGACAATGTTTAAATGACTACAGGATTGGACTAAATGAGTTTACTTATGCTAAATGTTATGCAATATTATGCAGTATTTTCATAGCTATATTAATAAACTCACATGACTTCATTCCTTTATTTCTTTTGAATGAGTTCTTACCTGGCCCAACTCCAAAGACAACTGTGAACAAGATAATCAGACACAGGCTGCAGTATGGCATCCAGAAATACCAGTCCTGGGAAAAAAATCCACCATAACAAACTTCTTGGTGAAATCTGTTAATAACCCTTGGTGAGAAATGCTGCTTTTTTCCCAACACTGTCACCTCAAGAAAAACTATACAGTGTGTGGGAATTGGCAGAGAAATTATGAGTGCTTTTTCCTGTGGATGGAGCAGTGAGGTTTTTGTTAGGTGAGCACAGAAGCAGGTTTGCTAGTGCAGAGCAGCTGTGAAGCTTGGAAGCCTTCAATTAAACAAAGTCTGAATAGTAGTTTTCCACCTTGTCCTCCTTTCTTCTTGACCCCATGATGCTTCCCCCAACACTTAGAGATATGGGAAGGCCAAATCATACCTTTCTTCACTTTTGTTAAGTGATAGGTTCAATAACTGATACTGAAAAGGAGTTTTCCTAGATCTTAGTCAAGAAAATATAAGACTCGATGCTTTAGGAAAAAAAATTCTCTCTCGGGTGTTTGAGATCCTTCATGAATGAAACAAAAATGGAAGTCTGCTGCCACCTTGCTTCAAGGCTAATTTTACAGTAGTGGCTCTTGGATGAATATCGGTAACCCTGGAGACTTGCTTCTGAAGAAGCTACAGCAATAACACAGTGTTAAAGAGGTGAACTGGTCTCCAGTCTGTGAAGAGATATGTGCATTCCCGATATCTTCTGCAGCAAAGTTAAATTGCAAATTAACTAATGCCAGGAGTCTGTTAGAAACTGCATGAATAGAAAGGGCCATTTTCCTCGGACTGTCTTTCATCTATGCTGGCCAGTGTTTGGTGCTTGCAGTCTGATGAAATCAGGAATCAGTGCTAGTCTGCCACTGTTTTATGTGCTCCTTGCTGAGCTGATGGGATCATGTTGAAAGGAAGGCAGGAGTACAAGAGAGTACTTGCTGAGAGGGGGTTTACGTATATGTAGACAAGCTTGATCTTTAGGATATTCCCCTCCCAGAGCGTAAGCTGTTAACACAGAAGTTATTTCGGCACTTCTAAGCCTCACTTTCCTTTCTCAGTAGCATGGTCCTGTCTGTGAGCAGAGGTTAGAAATAGAATAGACAGAGAAACCTGCCATGAGAAGAGTTTCCTTACCTGTAGAGAGAGAGTCACGGTGATACCAGCTAGCAGTGAACCCATGATCCAATAGCCTCCTCTTAGGAGCACTTTCCTGCCCAGTCGCTCAATGATGGAGCTCTGAACGACAGAAATCACACTCGTATCAGTGCCAGAAGAGCAAATTGAGACCCATTTCTGTAGTAATGTGACTTACACAGACTACAGTAGCTACGAGTTCAGAGAGTCCAACTGAGAGGGTCATATAGGAGATCATTCTTTCATCAAAGCCTGCTGCCTGGAGGACTTCAAAAGTATAAAAGTAAATCTGGAAAAAAACCCCCATAAAACAGTAAGGGAAGAAAATAATTGATTTCTTACCCATACCTGTGTGATACTGTCCTAGGTAGGATCTGCTAACCAAGGAGCATGCAGCTCAGCTTTGGAGTGAGCTAGAAATCTGCACTCTTTTTGGTAGTATTCACTTTACTGGATGACAAAAATATTATAAAATGTAAATTAATTAATTAGATAAAAGATAAAATGACTTCCAGCTGCTGCAATGTAATTAGGCTTGCAGAGTCCTGATTTAAGTGCTTTCAGAAACAGCCATGTATATTGTTGCTTCTGGACCCCATCCAAAAACATCATTGTAGGATATTCTCAAGAAAGAAGAGCATGGGTTATGGAGTTGTGAGGGGATAAAACAAACATCTTTTGTTTTCAAGTGTCTTTGCTACTGTTTGGAGACATGCTGAGATGATCGAGATTCCAATTTAAGCTGTGTTAGACTCAGCTGTGTATTTCCTTTACAGATGTTGCTGCATCGTGATGTTAGAGGTTGAAGAATCATGCAGGCAGTTGCAGAGCTGTGACTTCAAAATGATTGCAGAAGAGTGCTGCTGTGAGGAAGACGGGGAGAACTTCAGAAGCTGTGAGAACAGTGAGCATGCTCATTGACTAGCTTGAAAGGTAGAGTGAGCATACTGCCATCTCAACATCTGAGGGTGATAAGAGCTGGGGGGCAAATAGCAGCAGTTGCAGGGGAACTACACTGCATATTTTGCCAATATAGTGTGGGCTTATTTGTAAGAGTGGGTTCTGGAGCCTTGTAACGGCTTCCAAAAATGGCTGTTAAATAAGCCTAACTACCAAGGAAGGTAGCTCCAGCAAAGACCAAGAGCTGGGCAGAGGGATGTCACATGAAGAGCCCAGCCAAGCTTTGCAGACTGCTGCTACCCTGTAGGAGGGCTAGAAGACAGCAAGTTGTTGCCTGAGAAGCCTGAGAAAAATGGAGGATGCTCCTGGGAGCCATGATGTCTCCTTTAAGGTTGTCAATAAGTGTTTTGAGACTTTAAGGGGGAAATACACTCAACTGCATTGATGCCACATAGCTGAACTGTGGCGGTCAGAATAACTATCATGTACAGCTGCCAACGGAAAGCTTGTTCTTTCATTAGCTCCAGGACACTCAAGATCTTGGTGTTTTTCATTGTTGCCTTCTCTTTCATGATGTCATCAATCTCTGCTTGGTGATGGCCTTCACCCCAAAGCTGCCTTATGGCTGTAGAGGAGAAGGAGAGCGAGACCTGCCATGTTAATTTGTCTCTGTTGTTTGTTGCCTAAGAAGTTTGTTGAGTAGGGGATGCACATGTCTGGCAGCACAGCACGCATGGGCTATGGCTGTGGTTTGAGGCAGAGATGTCCTATAGGGTGTTCCAGAGCCCTGGTCCCCTTCTACACTGAGGGACCTTTCTGATAGAGGGGCCTAGTGGGGTGCACAATGACTCCCTCCTTGCCCATGGGTCCTACTTTTCTACCTTCCTGCTTCTTTCAGGGCATGAGCAGGGTACACAGCCAACAACCAGAGCTAAGGGGTGTCCTCTGGAGCCCTGCAGTGCAAAGAGCAATTTATCGTTTATCATTTATCATCAGACTGACAGTGCAAGTGGTGTCAGCTGAATGTGAAAGGTTTTGTAATACAGAACTGTAGAGAGAAGTAGTTTCATGTTCTATGTGGGGACTGCAACAAAAATATACTTAGCAGGTATTCACAGAGTCATCTTGGAAATGAGCAGGGAGAAACTTTGTCCTGTTTATTTTTTTCCATATGGGGAGAGCAAACATCACAAAACAATTGAAAGTCAAATGAGGAACAGGAACCTGGAGCCCTTGGTTACCTTTTTTGCAGCCTTCCTGGTCTCCTTTATGCATGAGGAGATATGGTGGGGACTCAGGGAAGAAGGGCAGAGTGACTAGCTGGACCAGTGCTGGAAGTCCACAGGAGGCCATGAGCATGGGCCACAGGGACTGGCTGCCCAGCAGCTCCCTAGTGGGGATAAAACATGTGTGTAGAATAAAAGTTTATTGCATTGGTTTTGAGGAGAGAAAGGAATGGATGGAAAAGCAAAGGAAGAAATAAGAAGTAGAGGGGATACAGAAATTAATTGAATGGGAAATCAATTGTATTGTACCTTTGTCCTGAAATTTGCCCTACAGCTTTTCCCAGTGACCAAAAGAAAGAGGAAGTAGAGTTTGCAAATCCACGTAGCTTCCTAGGGGAAATTTCCCCAACGTATTGATGATGTAGAGGAACACAAAGACCTTGAGGTGAGGAGAGAATTATGGGAGAGAAGAAAGAAGACATTCATAACCGTTGGAAATAAAACTGCATGTAAATAATTAAGCATTATGGAATATAGCTGCCTCATGCACCAAATTGTTTTTCATACCTCAAGCCACGTATGAGACTTTTCAGTACTAGATTTTCTAACCCTTTCTACAAAAGTGTTTGGTTCCTGTCCTCTTTGCACAGTGCAGTTTCCTGATCTTAAGAAATGTACAGTTATCTCTTTGGGGTGTAAGTGTAGCCTCATCACAGTACCTCTTGTGATCCTTGGCATATTTTAAAGGACACAGAGTATGCAAGTGCTGAATAACTAAACATTCTGTAGTAATCTTTAATCTACCTGTAGTTAATCCACATAATCTCAACCTTTTCTGCCAGGATGCCATAGAAGAGCTGTATGGTAGATGCATAGCAGATTCAAATATACAGTGCTATATTCAATGTTGATTTGTACATAATTTGGGGGGAGACACAAGTATTTCTTTTCCACCGTCCAGCAATAATTTTGATTACTTCAGGTGATGTTTCCAGCCATTAGTGAAATACTTAATAACTCAGACATGTTGAAAACTAGTCTGGGAACAGAGCTTTTTCCTGATATGGTGGTCACAGCCCCTTTTATCTGTTTTGAAAGCAACACATTCTTCTCCTGGCCTTATGTGATGGCAAAGCAATGGAGATATGCAATCGCTTTAACAAAAATTAGGTCTTTGCTTGAGGCATGATACAGGTTCTAAATCATAGCAGGGTGAGTGGGTGGGTAGTTCTCAAAATACAACTGTAGTTCTTCAATACAACTGTATGTCAGAGAAGCAATGTACAAAATCTGGTTATCTGAAAAATAGACATTAATTTCTAATGAAGTAAGTTAAAATAGTCATCCCTGTGAATATCCAAACTGAATGGAAAAGGAACTTTTCAGTATGCCTCCTGAAATAGGCATACTGAAAGCAGCACAGGATGTTTTCACTGCATGTGGTCTACCTGCCAGGAGTGATTTTGCTTGATTATGTCCGGCTCTTTATACTAACCCCAAGGATTTACCACTTTGAAACACGTTGAATACCCATGTAGAACATACCTGAAATATGATCAGAGTCAAAATTAAATGGCCATGGCCTTGAACAGCCTGGTTCTCTGGATCCTTATAAGAATACTAGCTTTAAACTGTACACCATATAATTTCCAGTACTGTTAACCAAAATTAAGATAATACTATATATATTTCCCCCTCAGAAAAAAAAACTTCTTTCATATTGTATCAAAACATTCCTGACAGCTCTGAATATTTATGCACTTGGGAAAGCTGAATTTCATTTGGTATCAGTGAAATTAGTAGTAATTATACTTTTTATTGCTGTGTGTTGTAGAAGATCTTCTGACAAGGGCTCACTAACTTTAATGCTTTATTTTCTTAGTGAAGGGTTATTATTTACTTTGAATAGAGATGTAAAGTTTTGGGAGAGCCTGCTGACCTGTGGGAGAAATTACTCACCTGCACTTATTCCACACATGAAGCGTCCAATTAGAATCATCTCAAAGGACCGGGCTATTTTACTGCAGCCCATGATAGATGCAGCCACTATCATGAGCAGATTGTTGCACAGGAGACATTTCTTTCTGTAAGTGCAAGAAAGTAAAAAGAATTTTTGTAAATCAGAAGGGAAATGGCACTTAAACCCCTGGCATGTAGGTTGTCTTGGGTGAAATTGTCTTGCTAGTTTTGTGAAATTATACATATGTGGTCCAGGACAGAATAAACCCTTCCACACTGTTGGCACCGGATGCTCTGGACTCACAGTCTGCCTTGGCACACGGCTAGACCTGTGCGTTTGGGAACGCTTCTGGGTTTTGTAGCGGAGAAAAGTCTTAAAGCTTTTCTGCACTTGGAAATCCATCATGAAACATATTGATGTAGCACTTTGGAGCATCTCAATGCTGCTATATTTTGAGTAGCACCTCCAAGAAAGCGTTTCTGTCTTCATCTGAGGGGCTGCCTTTCCTCCTTGCTGAGACTAACCCAACCTGAGTAACTGCGTCTGGGGTGACAGGCTGGCAGCACAGTTGATTATCCCATGCCACAGGACAAGGGCAAGAAACAGCAAGGTCTGTTGACACTACTGCTAAGCTGGCTGTATTACAGCCATTACTAAGCCTAAAAGTCTGTCTCACATTTAAAACCTCAGCTGTCATTTCCTTAAGCTAAGATTCAGTTAACAAATTGTCTTTAAACATACATACTTGCCATACTTGACAGTCAGGTATCTGCTTCCTGAAGAACCCAAGAGACCTCCTATACCAAAGATGGACACGGTGATAGACCATAGGAACAAGAGATTATCCTGATGGATGGGGTAGCCATATCGCTCCAGCCAAGTTTCATTAATGAAAGCCTTAACATGCTGAGACAGAAAAAAGAATTTTCATTACCAATGACTGTGACTCTAGTGCATGTATTTTATTATATTTAGAATGTAATTTTCTTGCTTCAGCTAAAGTCACTATTTCATATAGACTCTAAAAGTGTGCATTAGCTAATAGACATAGTGTAATAGAACATGCTGTGTTCATTTTGCCATTAAAAGGAGTTAATTCTTTGGTTTTTATGTCCTTGAAACCTGAGGAACTGAGGCACAGACTTGTAGTGAAGAATAGTGTCAAATGAGACCACTGAAGTAGGCATATGTGCTGTAGGTTTTTAGGGGAAAGAAACAGGTGCTACCCCAGTCAGTGTGCACCCTCTGAGGAACAATTCTATAAACAACAACTTGCAGGTCTCTCTCTTTTCTGCTATTTTCAACACTTTGACATATTCTGCTTTACATGATAGCATAGTAATGGGAAGGAATCGTGAGAAGAGAATACTGTGATTAAACCCTTGCTGACTGCCAGAGAGGAGCATCCTCAAGCAGGCATGCAGACTCAGTGCCACTGTTAACCAGTGTGCCATGTGCATCTTCACCTACCTGAGACATGTAGGTGATGCTAGAAATTTGCAAGCCAATTTGGAATGTTCCACCGATCCCCAGCACAGTGATCATTTGAAAGAGCCCCTGATACTGTACCTGCAGTACAAGAACAAGATCTTCTTAAGCTTGTAGGCCACATCAGGCTGGTCTTGAAATGTGTCTTTCATATTCCAGAAACATCCTATTTGTTCAAGGGACTTGCAGATGGGCATGTTCCCTCTGCTTGCCCTTGTGTGAAGTGTACATCCTCCTGTGATTCCCCTACATCCAACTCAAGGAAATGCAGCCTTTAGCTATGGAAACCACTACATTTCCCTCCCCTCCTCGATTGTTAGTCAACAGCATAGCAAGCTGAAGGTCATACCACACTCCAGAGCTAAATCATGTGAGAGGGATTTTGGGAAGGGAGGCCTTACTTTCCTCTCTGCTATCTGGACAGTGACCAGGCTACCTGCAGTTCAGACCTGTGCCGACAGTAGTGACCATGCCCTCTGTACCAGACCTTTCCTATCTTATCTGGGAGAGCAGCTGCTGTGCTAGCTACCCTTCAGGTCCTTTGAATAGTGGGCAGTGATCCCTCAACTCGATTTTTGTGGCAAATCATCCACAGCAGCTAAAAATTATAACAAAAACTCTGAAACGGGGGAAAAAAACCCCAGACTGGTGTTGCTTGTAGCATGCTTTTCCACTCAGCTGCCTGTCAGTGTGGCAGTCCTTGGAAATCCATGTTTTGTTACCTAGATGGAGAGGATGGAACAGCAAGGAAAGGTTTTGGGACAGAAGTTCCCTTCTGCAATGGTTTTGCTCAAGATGTGCTCTAGGAGGAAAATGTCATTTCTAACTCTTATTACTATCATCACTTAAGGACTCTTGCCCCACCTGCCTGTCTCAAGCAGCATGGTAATCTTAATCTCTTGGGAGCTTTGAGAATAGGCATCCCACTTTGACATTTTTTCTGATTTTTTTTCTGGTTGATTACAGATCTGAAAATACACAACCAGCACTGCACTTAGGTTTACTTTACAGCAGCCTTTGCAGGAGGATATAGTGAACATGCTGTGAATGAATGAAAAATTGGCAGCCTTTCAGAGGTGCCCCGCCATATTTCTCTTTCCTGGGTGAGAGGTTGAGTGTGCCTAGCAGGAGTTGAGAGCTCTTGCAAAGAGGCTTTGTCCTAATTGGAGGTGCCTCACTGACATGTGAGGCAGCAACTCCAGGTTCAAGATTCTGACATAGCCAGGATATAAATGCTGCAGCCTCCCACAAACATCCCTGTCAAGATGTCACAGCTGCCAACATCCAGTCCTGTTCCCTGCCTTTCAAAACCTCTGCCTGTCATCTCTTGCACTAAATAATTAGTGATATATTTAACAAAACTCTTTTTTCAGCAGGCAAGTAAAGTATATTATGTTTGAAGGTAAGCAAATATTTTCCAGTAAATAAAAACATTTAAGAAACATTAACATATTGATAAAAATATGATAAAGATGGATGGAAGAGCATATGAAGTGCAAACATCTGTAATGCCTCAAAATGGTGGGAAGAACCACTTCTGAGACGTTTTTAGTGAATAGAAGCCTTGTTATTTTTACTGAGATACTGTTTTTGTTTTCTTTGAAACACTAGTAGCATACAAAACTGTCACAGATGTAAATAGCCCACCAAGTACTTACCAGGTCTGATAGGAAGCCGGTCATCTCTGGCTAAGGGCTGGTTGTCCAGTGTGTGATGTGTCTTTGTCATCACAGGCTTCTGTGTCTCTGTCTTCTGCCTGCTGGTATGGCAGTGGACATTTGGCTTCAGGGACCACAGTTAAATTTTTACTATTTTGTCTTCACTCATATTTATTTCGACCGGCCAAAGTTAACACTGCTGGATTAAATATTTCAGGAAATAATTGTATCTAGTCCAGTCCACAGGGGGAAAGTTTCAAAGCAGAGGAAGTTTGCACCTGGGGGTAGCAAGGGCTTTGGAAAAGGAAAGGAGAACAGTTCAGGCAAAACAATCTAAACAGTTTCCCAGGAACAGTAAAATACTATACTTCTATGATACAAACTGTGGAGTATCTCTGCCATAATCTGCACAAAGCAAAAAGCAGCTGGTACAAGGTTTAGGTATTGTTATTTATTAAGTAAAGTATGTGGTGTTCTGTTTCAGGTTCATTGGTACAGTAAATATTGTTTATTAGATTAAAAATAGGCAAATTTCAAAGCCTAATTCTGCTGTTCTGTCTTTATGTGTCAGTTAGACTGTACTGAGGAAGGGTATTTCTTGTCTGGTGGTTATGGGGATCTTTGTCAGTCAGGTGTGGTAAAAAGGCAGTAAGAGATACTGTGCCCTGGCAGAGGCTTTTGGAATAGAGCATCTGGTCCTGAAGGCTGTGCCTGAAACAGCCAGTAACTGTTAAGACCCACTTACTTATGAGAGTAATCAAAGAAGGTAAATATTACATAATGAGTTAGGATGGGACAACTGGGATCTTAATTCCTCAAGTTTTAGCTTTGACCCAGAACAACTCCAAAATCAGTGTTGCAGCCATTGAAAAGTCATCTTTGGTTCCCAGAGGCTCCTCTCTTGTGAGGTGAAGCCCGAACTGTAGCTCTACATGGCTTCTTCTAGAAGTTCATTTAGTGTTGGACCTACAGAAGTGGCTAGAAAGCTGCCCGGAAGAAGAGGACCTGGGGATGTTGGTCAACAGCCAGCTGAACATGAGCCAGCAGTGTGCCCAGGCGGCCAAGAATGCCACTAGCGTCCTGGCTTGTATCAGAAGGACTTGTGGACAGAAGGACTAAAGTGATTGTCCCCCTGTACTCGGCATTGGTGAGTACAGGCACTTCAAATAATGTGTTCAGTTTTGGGCCCCTCTCTACAAGAAAGACATTAAAGTGCTGGAGCGTGTCCAAAGAAGGGCAACAAAGCTGGTGAAGGGCACAAGTCTTATGAGGAGTGGCTGAGGGAACTGGGGTTGTTTAGCCTGGAGAAACGGAGGCTCAAGGGATATCTTATCTCTCTTTACAACCACCTGAAAGGAGGTTGTAGCAAGGTGGGTGTTGGTCTCCTCCCAAGTAACAAGCGATAGGACAAAAGGAAACGGCCTCAAGTTGCGCCATGGGAGGTTTAGGTTGGATATTAGGAAAAATTTCTTCACGGAAAGGGTTGTCAAACACTGGGACAGGCAGTTCAGGGAAGTGGTTGAGTCACCATCCCTGGAGGTATTTAAAAGACATGTAGGTGCTTAGGGACATTGTTTAGTGGTGGACTTGGCAGTGCTAGATTAACAGTTGGACTTGATGATCTTAAAGGTCTTTTCCAACCTAAATGATTCTATGATTCTAAGTGAAAACAGAGCTGTTAATAATGGGTGAATTTCTTGAGGAAGATGAGGGAATCCACATGTAGCTTTTTTCTTTCTCTTTCCACTATTGCTACCGCTGTTCCAGTCCCACTATGTCAGGGTAGGCCTACAAAAAGAGACAAAAATATGGGATGAGAAGGCTCTAGCAGGCAGTAGGTCAAAGAGGCTGTGCTCTGCCTTCTAGCCATTTTTATTAGCTCTCCTGACAACAACAGCTACTGAAGCCATAATATTTACAGAATGCAATCTCCTTTGAACAGATGCAAGCATAACCCTGACACGCTAACTGTGATGCCCCTGCTTGTATTCAGTTCTGTTGGATGCCAGCTGCAGGCTTGTAACAGTGATTTTGGCCCTGATACATAGGTCTGTACTGAAATAAGTAAGACTGGATGGCCAACTTCTTCTTGAAGGTGTCAGTCACAGCAACGACACTAAATTAGTAGTACAAAGATGGGAAAGCTAAAAGGAAAAAGTCTAGCTTACTTGTTTTATCTCTCCTTTTGAGTAAAAGATAGGCAGGATGAGTAGTCAAAATAATTTGAGATGTTGCTTGCAGAAGTATGAGAAAGAGAGACCTTGGCATGGGGTTAAAACAACATGAAAACATTAGTAGGGGCGGGTTAATCATATACTGTCTGGTTTATCAGCAACTGCAAGAGATGCAGCAATAGTAAGTATTTGGGAGAACAGGCCTCCTGAGGTTTGGCACATTGGATTTGTGCAACCTGGGAGGATGAATGCTTGAGCTAGAAAGGTTCCTTAAACCACAAAGTAGTGAAGGTGTCCAGAAAGACTACCTGTGAAGGACTGACTTCTGCAGGAGACATTGGAGCTAAATCTGAGTGAGCCTGGCTGGACTTCGTAAGTGAGAGACAGAGGGATCCAAGGCTCATGCTTTTAAACCTGGTATGGTGCTGTGTGACAGGGATGAACAGTCCCTCTGCAGTATTCCAGCTGTGCTTCTGCTGAGACTGGTTCCTGCCAAAGGACCAGCAAAGACAAAGTAACACTGACCAAGATGACAACACAGAATTCTCTCTTCTGTATGTGCAGAAGGCTTGGGACTCCTGAAAAGAAGATATGAAAAAGAGAAGGAGGAGAGTAAAATCAGAGAGAAGGAATTGACAAATGAAAGTACAAGTTACTGCAGCAGAATACACTATTGATCTGGTACAGTGCCAATAGTGAATACTGATCCTAACTTGTATTTTTCCATATGCCTATCTAGTGAGCTACCCCATGGCTTTAATGTCTGTTCAGCGCAGTTCAGAAGTACTGTCACTTGCAACTGCACCACATTGTGAAATCTGTGCAAACCGGGAAAGGAACAGCATGGGGAAAAAAAAAAAGTTATATTTGTGTTCTCTTTAGTCTCGCACCATTCTTATTTTCAAACAGGAAAGTCAGGCATTAGAAATTCTCCTTTACAACATTGTTAGGGAAGCTGCAAGTTGTATAGAAGCACTGCTGCAGAGGGCATGGGGGAAGAGGGCATGGTGGCAAAAAGAAGCATAAGATTTCATCCTGGATACAGGCAGCACCCTGTCTTTTTGGAATCAATGAGGAATGGGGGCACAGAAGCTGTTGTGAGCAGGTTAACATACACAAGCCAGTCTGTCGCCCGCATTATTGCAGAATAAATGTCCGTAATTCAAAACTCCTCTTCTTAAATAATAACATGGTGTATTTATATAGCACTTTGCCAGCTCAATAGTGAATGCCAGTTTTCCAAATAAAGAGTGGTAGATGGATGGGCAAAAACATCCAAAGTCAAATCAGCAGCCAGTTGATGTCCAGGAGTAAATCTCATGACTGCTTGGCTCTCACACAAACACAACTTCTTTTACTGTGTCGGCAAGCTTAAACTGCAGAATTTTCTTATGGACACCTAAGAGTTGCTTTAGTGCATGAAGAGGGGGAGATGCCCAACTGCATTAATGCCAGAGAATTGCAGAGTTATGATCACAATAATCGAAATACACAGCTTCCAGTGCAGAGTTTGGTCTTCCATCACGTCCAGCACACTCAGGATTTTGATGTTCCCCATCACTGCCTTTTGGTTTTGCAAATCATCCACTTCTGCCTGGTCTCTCCCTCACCCCACGGTTTCTTCATAGCTGTGCAGAACAGAGAGGAAAGCTTGATACAACTGTACTATTCATGCATCATAAGATTTGTACATGCATGTTTGTTTAGATTATTAATTAGTTATTCCTCTAAGGTTTCAGGCATCATGATTATTAACAAGCATGGAATGAGAACACCAGTGAGGTATGTTTATATCCTGTGTCCACAGTCCTGCAGAAAATAAGGCCCTATCTCACAGTTGCTAGTATATAAAACTTAACACAGTTGTCAAAACATCCATACATTCTTTGATCTCTGTCTTTCCCTGCCTGATTGCATGGTTCTTGTTGCAGCACCTTGGAAGTGCCTTCCTTGAACCTAAACAGAGAAACTATGGTCACAATCACTGGTAGTTCTTTGCACTGATAATGTAGCATATTTAGTCATTAAAGGGCTTTGTGTTTGTGTGCATGTGTGTTTTCATGTAGAGTTGCAGACATGCTGTATCTGGACAAGTTTGTTGGAAAGAATTTGTAGTAAATTGATGAGATAATTTATGCAGTTTACTATAGCTCCCAGTAGGCTCGCTGCTATTTCAGTTAGGTGGTTGTGGTACCCAAATTAGCTCATTTAAAATTACCTTACATGACATCTTTTGAAAATTTTTACTGCCCATGTTAACACCAGTAGTACTCACCACTTCTGAAAGGAGCTTTTCCATCCTCTATCAAAAGGGTGGCTGATCCCAGGCAGTCAGAACTCTCTTCGTTTGAGGAAGTGTTTTGTCATGCCTTTTCTGCACCTTCTGCTTAAGTAATCATCTGACTCTGAGACTGAAGTTAATGTTTACATTGTATGATTTCTGTTGACTGATGGCTCTTGCAGCAATTGGACAGCATTTAAAACACATGGATTAACTATTTCGATGACTCAACAGGAGAGGTCCCTCTGAATGGGAACATTTTGTAGCACAAAAGGTCCCTTCCCAACCCAAACTCTTCTGTGATTCTGTGAGTGGTCCCTATTTTGATACAGGGAGTGAAACCAGATCAAATATAAAATCTAAGCCAGGTTTCAGTTGCTGAAACACACACTGATGCTTTAATATCAGAGCTTTTTCTGTGGATCTTCCTTTAGAAGTAGCAAGCACATTATTTGAAATTTTAAAATAGAAAACTCCCTAAAATTCAACACTGATTCAGTGCTGCAGCACAATGATAATCAATGTGAATGGTTAAACTGCAGATAGGACTTATGATCCTACTAAACAGG